TGCAGGACCTGGTCACCTTGCAGCCATTGAGTCAACCGTGAACTTCTCCACACCAAGGTATTACATCAGATGTGAGACCAACAACCAAACTGGGACATGATCGGGAGTGATGGTGCAGAGGTTAAGACAAGGCGAGCCTATGACCAGGAGGCTGCCGGTTCAAATCCTCTGTTATATCAAAATGTAGGTAGGAAAGGTGAAGCACCCACACCTGCTTCCACCCTTATTTGCCCCACTATGAGCCCTTGAGAAAGGCCCACAAGCCCCTGCCTCCTCGGGCAACTCAGATGGCAGCCTCCACATCGGTGTGCTCACATGCCCTGGGCAAAATGCAGAGCATCAATCTCCCCATTAGGAATTAATAGAGCAGAATAAAAAAAAATGCTATAAAACATTGATCCAAAATGTAACGGCTAATTTACAACAGAAAGGCTGATAAATAAATCATTGAACGTGTCGCAATGATCCAGTCTAAGTCCAAACCCCAGCCTGACTGAAATGCTGTGATGGGACCTTGAGAGAGCTGTGCAGAAACAAACGTGTGCAAACCTTGAAGAAGAATGGGCCGTCATTTAACTATGAGACTGATACAATCTGTCACTCTTGACCTGTCGCTGCTGACTTGTTAAATAGTGGGACACATTTAATTCTTCACACCGTATTTCCAGTTTGGCTTTGTTCATGTATTTTTGTGCATGTGAGGTTATATTTGAATAAACGTAAACCTGGTAACAAACAGCCAGATCATATATTTCTTCATCCCATTACTGTATTTTAAACCTCCACAACCGTATTGCATTTCAAAATGTTGAACTTCTTCAGAAGTATAGAAACAGGTGGGTGAGTGTGTGTTTGTGTGTTGCAGTGCTGCACGTCCTGCTGGCAAACATAGTCTCTGGCACCACTTGAGGCGAGGTTCAAGTCCACGGAAGAGCGTCCGAGTTTTCCACCGGCTCTTCGTGAGTTCCTCTTGTCGGAAGCTTCCCACACGGTCAAAACAACACAACCTCACAGCCACATTAAATTAGAAAAGGAGACTAGAATAATATATTAGAAAGACTACAAGTCCTGCACCCCAACTCTGCTACCTGTCATCGACCCCCCTCCCCAAATGAATAAATATATTAATAAGTATAATATGTGGCAGAGATTGTCATCCTCTGCACACTGGCACCATTAAGATACTTCTTTACTAATAGTACAATTATTTGTTGATATCAGAGTATTAAAGCTGTATGGCGGTAGAAAGAGACACGGTCTCAAAAAGCACCCTGTACTCTATTGGGGGTAAACATCAATACGGTTCAGGTTTAGGAGCCCACACCCTTCTGTAAGGCGTCTTTAATGAGCCGCACCCTACAGCGTTGGAGATTAGGGTGCTGTTTGAGGCCTGATTTGAGATACAGCAAATGTAAGCACTGGAAGCAAATGGACATGCATGGTTTGAATGGTCAATGGCTCATGGATGGCAGTACTAATCTGGGTGCCAAACACCCCCCGAAGGATATGAGAGGCCCCTCGTAGTGGGGAGCTACATCTAAAACTGCTGAGTCAGTAAATCCTATGCAGAAACGAGTACATACGGCAGCAAATCTGAGATCTAAAGCTAATCTGGACACCGTGATTTACAGGAAACGTTTTGAGTAATATTTGGCACAGAGTAAAAGCAGGCAGTTCTCTAATATGCTGTGAATCGTTAGCAACTCAAAGAACAAGTAATTATTTCACCATTATCTTTTGAAACAGGTTTCTGTGTAAAAGAGATCAACAAATGTTCTTTTTGCACAATAGTTTTTTGAGGAAATAATAGTTTATGGCTAATCAGGGTGGGCTAAGTCCAAAGTGTAATGCTAACCTCTTAAAGCAACTCTAATCTAAAAAAATAAATTACAGCATTGCAAGCAAATGCCATTGTTTTTTATTTTATAAACCTTTACATCATTGTTGGTTCACCATTACATGGGTCTTTAAGAAAAGAAATCCTGCCCAGGCTACACAAGAAATGCTACAGTTAGCTGCTGCTATTGCTATTTGCGCTCGCAAATAACCATATGTAAATAACTGTAATGAAAAACTAACAGCATTGTAAAAGTTTATAAAATAGTGATTACATGAATCTGCAATTTTTGACATTGGAGTTGTTTTAATGCAGAAGCGATCCACCTTGCTCTTGGCTTGGCTCATGCTAACCGTTAGCTGGTCAGTCTGGTCAGAATTAAGCTCCATTTCTTTTTTCTGAGGTCATTCATAGGGCTATCTACAACAGGTAAAATATTCATTGTTCATAACTTTCCGCAAAACTCCAATTGTTTTAAGACTATATTCAATTTACTTATCTAATCTAAAGTCAACCTTCCAAAAAATAGCCAATGGAAGCCCAAAGCCTCCTGGTTTTCTCTGCCTCGACCTCTTTTTCATGATAAATTATTGGTAAGCTGCTCAGCTGATTGAAAGAACAGATGTTTCTGAGCAAATGCACTTCGCCTTTTCGTTTCTCTCTCCAAGATAACACCCTTACGACGACATTGCTGCAGTGCTGAGCATTAAAAGCCCTTGTGTGCTGCTGTCCTTTAAAAATTAAAAGCCCTTGTTCTGAGAAAAGCGCCCACCCCCCCTCCCTCTCACACACAGTCCATGACGGTGGCTGATTTTGCAGTTAGTTCACAAAATCAGTATTCAAAGGTGGAGAGCACAAGCAAGTCTGTCATGGTTATGCCTTTATGTTCCCTTTTTGGCATAAAAGACAGGCGATAAAATTGAAGCTTTGTCAATTAAACAGCGCGACTGAGGTTAAAGCATTTTTCATTGTCGGGGTTTAACGGTCAACGTCAGGTTGTTTTCTGTTTCATTTGTATAAAACAGTGAAATAATGGCTTGGGGAGTTATATAACATGAATATACAGAACTGTCCCCCTTTAAGTTTCTCTTGATATTCACAGTCGCTTACAAAAGGTTTGGAAAAATGTGCAGGGAAACGCTGTATTCGTGTCCACAACTCTTTTTTCTTTCTTCTAGCTGCTCTGTGTTTTATGGCTTCTTATTTTGTTGTGATGCAGTAAACGCTCTCTGTAGCTTTAATTTAGCAAAGTAGGCCTTTTAATAATGACTTTGTCTGCTTTGCCACATGATTGAAGATCTGTTTTTTTTTTTTGTTGCCATTTCTGCTTTTAGGAAAGAAAAAAAACATCACAACAGAATACTAAACAGTCAAAAATTGTAAGGGAATAAAAGTCTCGTAGTTAGCTTGATTAAGTCTTTCTATGCATTTGCTGCCATAATTAAATGTCTGCTAACGCAATCGTTTCACTGCTGCTAATAGCTAAGACCTGCGTTTTATTTTTATTGAATCTCACTGCAAATTTTTCAGAGTAAATGTTGCTTCAAAATGACACTAATCCAGGTTTCTTGCTGCACTTTTTAGGAGTCTTCAGTGTTGAATCCTCAACTTCCTTTTCCAAAAGGGTTCATACAGTGCAAACCCTTGATAGATAATATTAAGACAACACAATTTACACGACGCATATTTAGTTATTTGTGAAAACAGAGCTGTGGTTTAAAGTTTTTATGATATGACCATCTGTGCAGACATGGCTTATGTTGCATAAGCGTGCTCATATTTGTGGAGTTGAATACACCGAGTGCACACAAAGAGACTACAAGTGACAGTTTGAATGATTGTGGCAGAAATGTTTTAAATGTCCTATAGATTGGACCATCAACCCACCCTTAAACTGTGCACTACATACAGACGAATACACCGTTGGAGCGATAGGTTCTTAGACTGTAATTAGCTTTTTGTTTGTGTTTATTTATGCAGCTGAAGTCAAATAAAAACAACTTTATCTTAAAATCTTCTAAAAGATGTTCTCCAAGAGGTAGTGGGCAGACACAAAATGTCCATGTGTGGTTAATTAAATGAATTTTGGCACTGCCTTAAAGTGTATTCACAGCTAGGCGGTCCTCTCTACAACTGTACCCTGAAACAACCACCTCCGGAAAACCAAACCATCCCACAAGCAACACCAACGGAAGACTGGACCTAAATCTGTTGTCCTTTAAGGTAGAGGGAAAGCCAGGTAAGAGGATGTGCGAAGGTGTCATTGAGGTGATAATGGACGCTGCACACAGGAAAACATGGAAGGCGAAAGGTGATTTGTGAAGGCCAAACAGACAGATATCCAATCGTCTCAAGTTTTAGGTAGAAATATTAATAAATAAATACATCAAAAAGTGGCAGAAAACACAACTGTGAGGAAGCACCAATGGATCGGACTAAGAGTTTCATTAGTTCTTTTCAGTCGAACCTTTTCCACTCCAACCACTAATATGTACACAGGGTCAAAGAGATGGGGTTGAACAACACTACGAATGAGCTTGATTCAGTTTCGGTTAAAAAAAATTAGAAGTTTTTCCACAATGAAGTCAAAGAATATGAAAGCAGTATAGAAAATGACCGCTAACGGCAAAAACGTACTGCCGTAAAATGGATAAATCGATCTTCTAAAACCAGCTGAACTCAAACAAATTAAGCCCTCTGCTTTGACTTAGAGTTTTAAGAAAGGCAACTTAAAGCTCTGAGTCATCCTTTCATTGGATCCAGCTCTACTGGGATCCAAAAAGCGATAAGGAGAATTCACAACGTTTGTCATCTCTTTTGACTTCTCCTCAAATTCACATTAGTTTTGTTTTTTCCTTTGGGGAGAAGTTGCCCCAAACAAGAAGCCACTTGCAACACAAGTCCCGTTCCCCCTTTACAAAAACATCAGGAAGCTGATTCATGAGCACAAAAATCCTGAACATGAACGGTATGTGTCGATATAAATAAGGAGTTACAGATAGAGCTATACAGTGATATGTGGCGGGGAGTTGGGGACAACTTCTCCAGCAAAACCAACCCTGCTACACACTAAGAAACTCTCAAAGGGCAAAGGATTCACAGTTCAAAGGCTAAATGTTCACAGTTTGCAGTCACAGGTTATCGAACCCCAAGTAACCCCTCATATTCTCTGTTCGCTGTCATTCTCACTGTACTCCTCCTCTTTGATACTCTGATTGTGTGATAGCTACAGCCAGATTCTCTCAGACGGGTGTGGTCCTGCGGTTGGGGTCCTTGTTGTAGTCTTTCGTAAGTGTGCTGCTCTGGAGGAACTCCCTCTCTGAGTTAAGCAGACCGCCAATGCCACCAACTGGTTTGGTGCCAGCATTGCCGGCTTCTCGTGGATTCAGGGTGTACATGGGCATCTCAGAGGCAGCAGGCCCCATGTAGCCACCTTTCCCCAATGGTGATGTGTCACGACTGGGGGCTTCGGATGAACGGACACTGGAGCGACGCCGGAATCGATAGCGATAAGAGGGGATGCGGCTGAAGGCGGACTTCTTTATGAGCTCCGTACGGGACTTGGCTCGTAGCTTGCGATGCTTATCGATGAACATGTGCACAGCCAGAACGCCTACCATTTCAGCCATGATGAAGGAGAGGGCACCAAAGTAGAATGACCAGCCATATGAGTAGGACTTCTTGCTATCACTTTGACCCGGGTCACCAGAATTGGCTGAGATGTAGACGATAATTCCAATAATGTTACTGAGACCTAGAAGAGACATAAAGAAACTTAATAAAACTTACAGAAAGAAGAGGAAACGCTCAGTCAGACATTAATAAAATCAACACTGAGGCTACATTATGGTATGGTTGAGCTTTATGCTAACATGAACATGCTAACAAGTCACGTGAAACCATGTATGTAGCCTGTTAGCTCCTAAGATGCTCATCTGTACCAACACAAAAAGCTGCTAAAGGTAGCATCTCACTGGGCTGCAACTGTTGGTGACAATGGTATGGCTTTAATGTTGCAGAGGTTCTCAATTTCCTTTTTGCCAGTCCCAGGTTCTTGCTCTCTAATTGCTGGAATATGGAATTTGCAAAACTTGGGA